AAGAGACATTCCTTATCGTCCTTTCGTAACATCCTGTACAAGGAGAGCTCTAAATGCTGCTCTACAGTTTCTTCATAGAGAATCTCTGATCCATTCTGTGAGTTGGGAAAAGTACAAGTCGAGTTGAAAATAATTTGGCAGTCTGCTGTGATTGCAGCTTTTCGACTTCGAGCCTACCGAGTATTGTTGAGTCAGGTGGATATATTTGAAACTATAGTAATGCAAGTCGATGTCAGATCTTCGATATGTACACTGGACACATGTAGTCCATTTATTCCAAGATTCTCGATTTGGTTGGGAGATTGCTTGTTCAGAGGCAGCCAAGTAGCTGGGAAAAATTTTCCTGTTCTTTCGTTCCCATCGAAGTTGATTAACCTCAACCAATTTGGCGATAATTCGTCATGGTGGCTGAATTTTCCAACTGGTGTATCAAAAAAGTCTTCTTTACCAAAACTAGGTGTAAAGTTGCCAAGTTGAGTTTAGACTTACTGGGGGAAACAAGGCTTATAATTAAATTTCAGGCGCTCATAAAAGACGTCTTTTTCACATGGTCTTTCTCTACTCGCGAGGCTTGGACGCAAATCAGGGATATATTGAAGTATTTCACTTTGATGGGGACTGTGGCTCATCCACGGTAATGAATGACAGAACCGGCGAAAGAGTCTCTCTCTCAACAACGAATTTGCCAATAAATTTGTGCTCCTTTTTACGACGGCTGTAGTAAATATCACAAAATTGTATTCGTTTCCGTTCCATCGCACATCTTGAACTGCGATGATGTCCGCCTTGAGTACTACGAGGACATCAATCACTTGAGCAGAGGTACCTTCCCAATTAAGCGATCGAATATTGCAGGGGCGGCCGCAATAGCTCAGTGACTCGCATTTCTTACTTCCATTTTAAGACCAGGGAGCGAGTACTGGTTCGACCAACATCCAAAATTGTATAGAAAACTTAGTTTTATAATTGCGGTCGCCCCTCGTCAGGGAATGAATTAAAGCTTCTCATTAAAATCCGTCGGCCGTTCAGAAGCGGCATATATAAACTGCAGATCTCTCCATTTGTTGGAAAACATTTAGACGAATATCACAAGTTGGTGAAGAAGCTCGTCCCAAAATCGCTTCAGCGGTCATGTAGCGACGAGTCCCTAAACGAAATATGCCGGAGTGGCTCTATCGAGACTTCCTTTCTTTTAGAGACTATATATAGGTTAATAGCCGCGTCTTGCGCTAAGGGTGACCCACGTTAGCGGGGTGCGCGTCGTGGGCACAATAAACGAAATGACGTACTATATGGTCTTGGGACCCACCCCATTACACCACAGAGAGAGTCTACTGCACCCTGAAACAGCCAGAGTGGCTCTGCCGAAGCCATTTAAATCCAACTCCTTACCTTCAAAACATCTGGTATATATGTATAGGTGAAGAAAAGGAAGCATCTTAACCGTTGTAAATTACTTCCTCTAACTGTAAATAAAATCATTACATCTGACCTTAACGGTAACAGTGATTTAAATGCAATTTCATGAAGCATTTTATTTTACTGATTCAGCAGATTTAGCTAAACGTTGATTAGTGGAAAGCCTTTTGTTTTTGTTGCCGTAATTTGTTGTTGCTTTTATTGTTTTTTATGTCTAAACAGTTGCCGGTAGTAAGTAATTACTAATTTCCTACAGATTTTTTTTTTTTACTTTTTTTATTTAATTTGGAATTTCACCTAATAGCTGACAGCAACTATTTAGAAAGAAAGACAAGACACCGTTAGATGAATGCATGTATGTATATCTGTTTGTAACTAACTAACCATGCATCACACCGTGAAGTGCCAGCATATTTTTGGTTTGGCATGTTAAGAGTAATTTTCTACAAATTCTACCTACTTAGCTAAACACACACACATACATACATACATACCGTGCATACTAATGTATACATATACATACAGATGCTAATACTTATTTTCATTGTTCAATGTTGCATTTGGTGAAAACTTTTCAACTTCACGCATCGAATGCATTAACTGGCGCATGTCTGTCCTGACTGACTGACTGACTGACTGACGTACTGGCAATTCGTTGGTCTATATACATACACACCTGCATACATACGTGTACATTCATATATAGTTGGCGTTTATGCATCGTCAGAGATCACAAAAGCTTAAAATAATGTTTAGTGCACACACACTCACACATGCACACATACATTTCTACATACGTGTATACGCCCAAGCGCAAACATATGTTCACGAAAAAAATCATAAATTTAGACAAAAACTACAAAGAGTGAAATGAAATGAGAACAAAAAAAACGAAAAAGAGAAACATGAAAAGAAAACCGCAGAAATTTATTGTGTTTTGTGCATACAAACATACATACATACATATATATGTATTTTAATAAATACACAGTTGCACATAGAAAAAGAGAATTTAATTCCAGGCAATTGACCTCTTTTTCGCTTTTCCATTGTTATTCGAATTGCTCGACTCAGCTCCACTCAGCTCGGCTTGTCTTGGCTTGTCTTGGCTTGACTTGGCTTAATGGCATATCTTAAACGCATGACATGCCAAGTTTACGCCAAGCGCATAGTCATCAAATGCGGTGAGAGAGTAGAAAAATGCATCAAACAAAGTAATAAAACAAAATATGAAAACACGCACATAAATACAAGTACACACAAATGGGCAATACATAAGAAAAATTGCAACAACTATTTAACATATATTCAAAGTTACTGTTGTTTGGTCAGTCAACGCGTGATATTCGTTTAGCGCTTTTTAGTTTGCTGTTTTTACCTTTCCCTTCATTTCTTGAGGTAACAAAAAATAAACTAAAACAAAAAAGAAAGAAATTTTAGCATATAAACGCAAATTTCTGAAGTTAACTGTTCGCAAGTAATTACGTTTCGCTTGTTGTAATTTTGTTGTTGTCAAAAAACCTTAGCGCAGCTGTTCATTGACTTTAGAGGTGCATGCGGAAAATAAAATAAAATAAAATAAAATAAAATAAAATAAAATAAAATAAAATAAAATAAAATAAAATAAAATAAAATAAAATAAAAAATAAATAAAATAAAGCAAAGTAAAAATAAAATAAAATAAAGAAAACATAGAAAAATAAAATAATGTAAATTAAATAAAATAAAAAAAAAACAAAAAAAAAATTAAATTAAATAAATTCAAATAAAACTAAAATAAAAAATAAAAAATTAAAGTAAAATAAATAAATAAAATAAAGTAAAGCAAAACAAAATCAAATAAAATAAAACAAATACTCCCTTTCTGATGTGCCTAGGTTTTGGGTTGGCCTCGAGTAATTGTACGTTGCTGTCTATTGCTGCCACAACATAGAATGTATGCTCCTTAACTCCTAGAATATATGCTTCGCTAAGCAAGTGATGCTTTGGCAACATGAGGAGTTTTCCTCTCACGGTCTTGGAGTGGTGTTTTAGCAGGCTTGTATCTACTTCATCTGCGTCAAGACAAGTCGCCGGCGTCCAGATCGAAGTAGCATAGTTTACGAGCGGCTTGCCAATTGCCTTATATGCAGTCAGCAACGTTTCTTTGTCTTTTCCCGAACAACTCTTGAGTTTACAATTATAAATTGTTCAATTAATTCGACATTAAAGTTATAAAGTCATTTAGCGCTACCTTTGCGACAAACAATCAATGGGTGCGTTCAACGAACTGAGCGCTCCGTCAACCCGTTGAGTGAGCGCTTTTACTGAGCGTTTAATGAACGTACTGCTACTTCAACTGTCGAAACGTCCAATTGAACGCAGCCAATGTCTTACTGAGCAAAAAATCCCTTTACCTGGTATCAAGCTACTCTAAGTAGTGTTAATATCAAGACACCCTATCATTCATTCAATGTTGAAATTCGTAAAAAATGATTTTCGAATTAATTCGAAACGCTTTCATTGAAGTGTTGGTATAGATGTAGATACGTATGCATATGATACAATAGCTATGAAAATCTCAAACAAAGAAGACAAAGAAATTTGTGATAAATATTTTTCCCACATGCTAATGGCCGCAACTAAAAGAGTAATAAATAAAATTATGTACATACATACAATATATAAAAAAGTATTAATTATTTATTATTCAATTGGACCACACACTGTTATCTATTACTTAGTCTCTAAATGAGTTAGACAATGGAATATGCGCACAGGGGGCTTGACGCCACAGGTAACAATGTATGCACAGGGTTATATATTTTGCGGTTTCCAAAATTAACGTAAATCAAATACATTTAAAAGTATTTTTTTCCAAGAAATTCTTTTTTTTGTTGTATAGTCAGGCCTTAACATTGTAAGTGTGAAACATTACACTATTCAAATGACCGCCTAATGATTTTTCGCAATCTGCGATCCGTTTTAGGTAGTTTTTAAGCACTTTTTGGCACATATCGAGCAGCATCCCAGTCACAAGTGAGCGAATGTTGATCTTCTAGTGCTCAAGAGTTACCCGTAAAAACATATTCTTTCATGTAGCTCCTTGAAAAAACCCATAGTGTTAAATCGCACGTTTTCAGTGATCAATTGACATCACCAAGGCAAGAGATAACGCGGTTTCAAAGAAGTAAGTTTGACAGTTGAGTTTGACAGATGTCAAAACACTGCTATTTACTTTTGAAGCCACGGAATGGACAACCCTATACATAACGAGACTAGGTCGCCTAAGGAACACTCTGTATATATATATATTATATTTACTATGTGTATATACTTGTACATACATATGTACGTGTGAAATAAAATTTAACTGAAGTAACGCTTGATTAAGCGAGAAATGAGTCACTTAAAGTTAAATGACTAAATAGTAAGAGCTAGCGTTTCACACCTTTTACAAAAAAAAAAAATTATTTGCAAAGATTTCTATTTCCATTTTTAGGTCATCGCTATATACCATATATACCCGTAAAAATTATACATGAAACATAAAGCGAAGAATATTAATATTTCTACACTTTTTTTTGTTGCTCTAACTACAGAGTCGTGTCTCAGCAAAAAAGGCTAAATTCACAAAACAACACGAACTACCATCAAATCAAGCCGAGAATTTATGTAAATTAGTGGCGAAAAATATACATACATACTCGTACTCCACACCTCAGCCCACACACACACAAATTTCAATGTCTGCAGCTTCGAACACCGGTAATAAAAATAAAATAAATTAAAAATTGGATAAAAATTAAAAAAAAAATACAAAAAAAAGATAATAATATTTTCACATGAGAAAATGCCAAAAAGTTAACAAATAGAGACTAAACAAACATTGTACCGTAACTTAAAAGTACATATTGTTGATTCACACTCATTGCTTGTTGGTGGAGAATAGAAAAATAGTTGACAAGAGAGCGGACTAGATTTGACTTAAAGGTATTGAGATTTGCTCTTTTAAAGGTTTTAACTTTTTGGCAGCTCGGCATGTGAAATATTTGGAATTTATGCACTCAAGCGTTTTCCAGTCAACTTGTGTACATATACATATGTGCGCATATGTGTATTTGAGTGGGTAAACGAAACTGTTTTATACTTCTGTATCGTACTAAGCGGGTGTTAGAAGCTCTCATATTTTTTCATAACAAAATTTTGTGTATAAAAACTCGTTTTAAGTTTTTAGAAAATCTTTATTATATATTTATTATATTCTTAATATATATTTCATTTATATTTTATTTTTTGTTTAGAAAACATCAATTAACATTTTTTCACTTTTTCTTTAGAAATTATTTTGTTTATTTTTTATTAAGAAAATATATGTAAATCAAATCAAATCACTTTTTTATTTACAAATTATTTTTACTATTTTTTATTTAGAAAATAATATTATTTTTTTCATATTTAACATTTTTTATTCAGGAATATGTTATATACATATACTAATTTGGAAAATATTCCTACAATTTTTTTTAGAGAATTTTCGTCAAAAGCTTTTTACTGAGAAAATATAAAAAAAAATTTTTGTTTGAAAATTATTGTCACTATTTTGTTATTTAGAAAGTAATTAATAAAATTTTTTGGTATGAACGTAATTATTATTTAAAAAATATTTTTTAACGCTTTTTTCTACAAATTATTATTGTTATTATTTTATTTACATAATTTTTAGTAAAATTTGTAATGTAGAAATTAATATTTTATTTTTTTCTTCAGAAATATATAATATACATATACTTATTTGGAAAATTTTTCTTAACCTTTTTCGCTTACAAAATAATTTTTACTATTTATTTTTATTCAGAAAACCATTAAGAAAATTTTTTAGTTAGAAATTATTATTTTTTCCTTAGAAAATACTTATTAAAATCTTTTATTTAGAATTTAAATTTACTAACTTCTTAATTAGAAAATATTTTTTTTGTGTACATACTTTTATTATGATACTTTTATTTAGAAATTATTTATCATTTTTTATTCGGAAAGTAGACCTGTCTGTGGCCTTGCCATAAAGACTTTACCCTTTTCAAATTTATAATATTTTGGGATTAAATAATAATTTTCAAATCTGAAAATATCGGTTGTATGAGGGCTATATGATATAGTCGTCCGATTTCGATATTTTTCAGAATATTCGTCAAATGTGTTGACCAATTTATGACCCTGAATCTATTGCCTAAAAAATTGGTCGGATATATTCGTAGTTCGTTGTTCGATCTGTCCGGTGCCGACAAATGATCGCCTCAATGAGGGACGAGTTTCTGCATATTTCGAAAAATGGGGGACCGATTGACTTGAAATTTTGTTTCCATTGTTTCTGGAAAGGTTTATACGGGAAGTGAACTAGCGAACAAACTAGAAGAAAAAACTCCTGTTTGCTTAAATCGTCCTTTCCTGTTCAGGAAGTGGGTTAGGGACAGACCTATGTATTCGGAAAAAGCGTATTTATGGCTCGATTTACTTGAAATTCGGCGCATAAGTGGATTTTAACCTAGATCAAAATGAGGACTACTCTTCTCGGCGGTATATCGATCTGGAACTAACCAGTTTGAAAAAATCCGATTTGTTGTTCGATTTACTAAATTTTTTCGATCTTTTTTGATAAAATATTATTCATAGTTCGTTGAACTTAAATTTATGATGTTTCCTGGCCTTAGAACCAATTTTGATATGCTCGATATATATATACATATATATAATTTCTCTGCGAATTTTAGAATTTAAATTGAAGAAAATTCAGAGCTAAGCTTATGATCAGAAATCAAATTAAAATATTAATTACTCTTTCAGTTTTCCTTCTCTAGAAAACTAATTTGCTTTTGCGCGTGAGAGAGAAGTCGATACTCTCTCACGACTTTCAAAATTATCTAGCAGCGATTAGTTTCAGTTTGCAGAGCGTTCTCATAAGATAAGTTTGATCAGCTGATTCGGTGTGTCGTTGGCTTATTCAACGATTAAACTTGTGTTTAGGCATGGCATTTTCTTGTAGATTTTAAATATCTTTCTTTTCTTTTTCTCTCAATAATCAGTCAGCAGCTTAACATTTATACTTTATATACTCATTTCCAACTTTCTCTTTCTCTCTCTTTCTCTTTATATCTCTTTATCTCTCTTTCTCTTTCTCTCTCTCTCTCTTTCTCTCTCTTTTCTCTTTATTTCTATCTCTTCTTCTCTCTCTCTTTTCCTCTTTTTATCTTTCTCTCTCTATCTCTTTCTATCTTTAAATCTTTCTCTCTCTCTCTTTCTGTCTCTCATTTTCTCGCCCTCTCTTTCTCTCTCTATCTCTTTCTTTCTATTTTTCTCTCTCACTTTCTATCTCTATCTCTCTCTTTCTTTTTCTCTCTCACTTTCTCTCTATATCTCTCTCTCTGTCTTTCTCTCTCTCTCTCTCTTTATTTCTCTCTCTCTCTCTTTATTTCTCTCTCTCTCTCTTTATTTCTCTTTCTCTCTGTGAGTGTAAAAATAAACAAAAACTTGTAATGAAACCACCGAACCACTGCAAATTTATCCAAATTCATTCCCGCTCAGCGCCTTTAATTGTTATTCAACAGCAACACTGAGCATGTGGGTGGGCAAGACACGAATAACATTAAATGTATATAAACATATAGCTATGTATATGTTTGTTTAGATATGTAATTGCTAGTAGCATAATGTGTAAAAATATGCCCACTGATGCCATCATTGCCGACGCTTTAACTACAAATTCAGTTAGATTTTACTACCATGACATTTATTTATGTTCAAATAAACTCCTCTTTTGAGTCTTTATTTTCGTAATAGGTGCAGCAGCAGAAAGAAAAGAAATAAAATACTTTGCTGGTCAATAACAGTGTGTTATTTTGAAAAATCTGTCACCTGACCTTAAACATGATACAGAGTACATATATACAAATAATTCCCGAATAAAATCATGAAGAAAAACTCTCATGCAATATTAATTGTTTGTTGTATAAAAAATCAATTCAGCTCGCCTATAACGCTTGGAATAAGCTAGGTGGTTGACCATCTAATTTTTTCTAGTTCTTTCATTTAAAGTTCTCTTTCAAAACTTTTTCTTATTCTCACTAGGGAGCGTTCATAAACCACTTACCCAGGCGACGCGTTGCATCAGACAGGGGAGGTCACGTTAGATTACATGAGGAGAGGCGGTGGGTTCCAGTAGGCCCAAGAAGTTTATGAACCATCTTCTAATCAATACTGTCTCTCATCTTTTTTGGGTTCGAAAATTTCAACTCAATCTGAACACACTGTACCTTCAACCGGCAACGGCACGCCGCTTTGTTGTGGGAAGTGGCGTTGAAAATCCAAACAAAGCAACGCGCTGCTGTACTACAATCACTGACAATTTTTTTATTATGAATTTTTTTTTCTTTTTTCTTTTGTGGCGTACAACTGCTAAATTTGTTTGTAGCCTGTTTTGGCTATGGTCACTCCGTTGAGTTGTACAATTGTGGTCTGGTTGCTGCAGCAGAAATGAAAAATTGAAAATAAAATGTATTTCTCGTGTAGGCGTCTACCTACGGACACGTTGCGGTAGACTAATATGAACATAACGAAGAAAAAATAAAACAATAACAAAAAAAATACAACAAAAAAGAAATAAAAAGATTTTGGGTCCAATTACAGTTTTATAAAAAAAATAAAGTTTTAGAGGTTGTTTTTATTAAAAAAAAATTAATAAATTTTTAAACGTTCAGTGCTTTGTTGCGGATTTTTACACGGCCTTTCATCAGCTGGGGTGAAGGCCAGAACTGGGCGGCTCAAAGTACCGATGTAGAAGAACCCACTCATTTTCATCCTTGCCCGTCCAGCGCAAGCTTTTGACAGCGGTGATGGGCGCCTCAGTTTGTTTTTCGAAAACATCAACCAGCTGGGACTGAATATTCCAGGTCTCAAATCACAATCCTTTGTACGTTTGCCGGGGTCGTCGCCAAATGGAGGTCTCTCATCCCAGAATGTTGTCTCATTTTCATTGAACATAGTTTATATATGGCGAGTATCAAACACAACTTCGCTGCGTCAGCAGGTGTAAGGTTTTGGACTCCTTTATATACATGGAGATTAAAATATTTAGAAGCAGCAACATTGAGCTTTTACATGTGAGTGATTGATTACCGTATCTTGCGCAAGGGTCGCTAACGTGTCCAGGGATCACGACGTGCAAGTAAGGGTAGAGATTGGGTACAGCCTTGCAACTGTCGTGTTTCAAGAAGCAGGACTACATCCCATTACACTACATTGCCATAGTCCGAATCATGAGACATTGGCTTTACTGACTAGGGCATGTCATGCATAAAAACACTACTGCTTTGGAAGTTTTATATACCGTGAGTGGAAGCGCTCCGTTTAAAAAATCATGGACAAAGTTCGTGCCTCTATTTGGTGAATCCAATTGGCAACTATTTGCGAGAAGAAAGATAGTCGAGTAAACTGAGCCTTCACTGAAAAAGAAGAAGAGAAACTGACTTTATGAAAACGCATCGAAATAAGATGTCAGAAGGGAGATTACTTCAAAAACATTCTTACGATTTATAATATTTGGCTGTCCACTTATCTAAGAACTATGACAAGGTGGAGGACCGATAGAATGTAAAAAGTACATCTATTTATATTTTGCACTGTGCGCTCTCATTGCGTGGAATATTTGGATCAAACGTGAAGGCAAAGCAGTACTCTCCGAACCAGGTAAGGATACCGGAGCGTAGTAACAT